GATCACTGGTGACAACTAAAAACCTTAATTGTTCTTGATCAATATTATGCTGGTCCAACCAATTATGTGTTGAGAAGATCACCTCTGGTACATGTTAAGAACAGGCAATGGTACATCGTTGAAGGTTTGTAACATGAACCAATATTCATACATCACTAACAGTGATACTATGTACTCCATCCGTTTTATATTATAAGACTTTCTAGCATTACCCATATTTATATAGATGTTAGTGAATCTATAAATATATATCTATATGAATGTTGTCAATGTTTGAAAGTCTTATAATATGAAACGGTTTAAAAGTCTTATAATATGAAACGGAGGAAGTAGATTTAATTAGGGTGTATTTGATCCCTGTTTGTTGTGTATAGACTGGCTTGTATAAACAGCCCGACCCAAATTGATGTTGGTTTGGATAAGCATCCTTAGTTGATTTGTTTGGTAGATTTGTACTATTCTTTTTTAGCTTGGTTATGTCAAATCCTCACTATGAATTTGGTTTTTGGGATGGAAGGTGTAGATAGTAAGTTTTTATTATATGTACCTGCATTTGAATTAACCGGACGCCCGGACATGATAGAGCCAATGGGAGAGAGCCACGTGCTCTTTTCTTGTAAATGATCACACATACACGTATATACATACATGTACATCTATTAGTACACTTGCGGCTGGGAGATACGGCTATGTGCCCTGGTGGTCTATGCCCTATGGAGATATAAATCCAATACTATTTAAAATTAGTTAACACGATACTAATACTTTTGATCTTAATTAACTACCGTTGAGAAAAAAGAGGAGGGAGGATGGCGCATGTACGCACGCGCCAGCGGGGAGAGGACGGCCGGTAACGTTGTATTTCGTGATAAATCTAACGGTGTATAGTACTGGACCCATATAATTAAGTGAAAATCAGGGATGGATATTTTTTTCTTATAATTTTATGATTTTCTGGCGTCACGTGGCAGCTTGGAAACGTTTTTAGAGTACCATGTGTCCGCCTGAGAGCGTTTTAAGGAAGTTTAATGGAATTTTAGCGCCTGCGGTGCGGGGAGAGGACAGTAACGTAGTATTTTCTGATAAATCTAACGGTGTATAATATTGGACCCATATATTTAAGTGAAAATCAGGGATGGATATTTTTGTTTTTTTCTAGAATTTTAGGATTTTCTAGCGCCACGTGGTAGCTTGAGAACATTTTTAGAGTGCCATGTGTCAACCTGAGAGCGTTTTAAGGAAATTTAATGGATTTTTATTATATAATAGAAGATAAATAGATTTTGATTAGGGGTGGAAACGAGCCTAGTCAAGCCTGACTCGTCTCAGATTGTAATGGCTCACAACAAACTAGGCTTGCTTGGCTCAGCTTGGATAAGGAAACGAGCTAAAACATGAGCTCGACTCTGCTCGTTTCCTGGCTCAAGCCAGATTGAGCTAGCTTGCGAGCCTTCCCATTGAAACATCTCTTTATATATAATTAGTAATCATTAGGAAAAGCAGGGGTAAATCATTGACATATATCATTCCCAAACAAGCGGCTCGCGAGCCAACTCGGGCTTGACTCATTTCAACAAATAGCTAAAAAGGAGGCTTGGGCTTGGCTTGTTTTTCATTCGAGCCGAGCCGAGCTCGAGCCAAGCCCAAGCTGAGCTCACGAGCCCGAGGTTTTTTTTTTCCACACCTATTTCTGATGCAAGGTTAGGATGCGTTCAGGAGGAGGGGTTGGGAACCCTTCATCCCTGGCACGCAAAATGAAGCATGTATTATTGCATGTTTCATTAAGGATTAATATGATTTTTTAAAACAACTTTCATATAGAATTTTTTTTTACAAAAAACACACCGATTAGCGGTTTGAAAAGCGTGCGCCGAAAAAAGGGAGAGATGAGTTGGAAAAACTAGGGAATAACACAGCGTAAATTAACTCTATACCTGCTAGTTTCAAATAAAATCTGTGTTGCTTGATCTCGTTGGTTGCCTGCTCACAGTTATAAAATTGCATAATATTAGAAGTAGCAGCGTGTCATGTCATTCTAACCGGATGGAGTAACTCTCACACTAGCTGTACATCTGATGTATATATCAGCAAATGAAAAGTATGTGTTGTACTATACCGCCTTTTAAATGTTATTAGAATATGATGCAGTTATTTTTTAGTACGTTTGACTATTCGTCCTTGCTCGAAAGTTCTGTGCAAATAGACAAACCTATTATGTTTGCTTCCCGTAGAACTTTTGATACTCGTTTTATTTTAAATGAATAAATATTACAAGTTTAAAAATAAAACTAGCTGTGTTATTGCATGATTAATTAAGTATCAGCTATTTTTTAAAAGAAAAAATAGATTAATATGATTTTTTAAAGCAACCTTCGTATAGAATTTTTTTTCAAAAAACACACCGTTTAACAGTTTGAAAAGCATGCGCGCGGTAAACAAGAGAGATGAGTTGGGAAAATTGGGGGAAGAACACAGCCTAAATTAACTATATACCTATTGGTTTATAATATAACGAGGCGGCGACCCGCACGAGGGAGGAGGGTGGGGCAGCACGAGCGAGAAGAGAGGCGAGCGCGAGGTGGCTAGGGTTCTTGCCAAATCTAGGCCGTCCGTTTCTGATCCAACGATCTCACGATGGTGGAAGAGCAGCCACGCTGGGACACGCTAGTCCCTCGCGCGTGATCGAACGGACCATAGCGGCAGGAACCAACGCACAATTAACAGGAAGTGCAGGCGTTTTTTTGCAAAAAAATACAATGACGTGGCACACTTACTTTCCAAAACGTGATTAACCCAAAACGTGATTAATCAGAGGTGAGTGGTGTTTTTGAAAAAACCGATGACGTGGCGTCCCTAACCTTCCAAAGATCCCACGGGTTTAAGTAATCTAATATATGCGTTGCTTGATCTGCCTGCTCACAGTTATAAATTGCGTAATATTAGAAGTAGCAGCGTGTGATGTTATTCTAACCGGATGGAGTACTCTCACACTAGCAGTACATGTGATGTATATATCAGCAAATGAAAAATATGTGTTGGACTATACCTCCTTTTAAATGTTATAAAACTAGAAAGGTAGCCCGTGCATTCGCGCGGGCGTACGTCATACGCTATGTTAACTACTGGAGAAGTGATCTTTGCTAGGTGGTGCAAAAACCACATTAGTCCCGGTTTGAATAGGAACCGGGACTAAAGATAATTTTTAGTTCTGGTTATTTTACCCAAGACTAGAGATAGATTCGTGGTCCTAGTTGTATAATCGGGACTATATGGGGTTACGAACCGTGAGTGAAAACCCTTTCACCAGTAGTGGTTTGACGTATTTATAAAAGCAATATATTAACCGGAGAACATCCGCCACGATTTCTCCATAAATTATTTTTGTTAGCGTTAATTAATTGTTTAATAATATTTTAACCTATCAGTTTTATATTATATCATATATAAGTAATATTTATAAGCAATTATTTATAATCTTCTTAATCATTTCAAAAGAATGTAGATTTATTTTCTTAGAAAACATGTCAACGAAAGTAAAGTAAGTGTAAAATAAAACGTAAGGTGTTTTTCTTTCTTTTGATGTATAATATATTATCATAATATGTTAAAGGATGTTGGGTGGGAAATGAAGCTCCACTAAATACATGGGTTATTTTAAGAAGCGATCTATCTATGAACATTTTATGTAGAGTAGATGAGAGACTCCACGCAACCTAGAAATAACACGATAACGACGAAGTATTATCATTGCACAGTAATATTTTTGAAATGTCATGTACCATGAATAAACACTTTTTCTATATAAGATAGATCTAACGGTTAGAAATAATGCTTCTACCGGTTTAAAAGGCATAGGAGTATTTTAAAAATGTAGCTTAAAAATTATGGTTGTCTTTATATCCAACATTATGAAGTGAGCGTAGTTCAACTGGTTAGTTTTCTTGCGGTCAAACTTGCCCACCCATATTATTAATCAGAACGTTTAAAATATATTATATTTTTTTAAAAAATGTATGGATCAATGAACAATAGCTATAATTCGTAGAATATATATGACTAAAAGTATTGAATTTCTTTAATAATTAATATAGTTAATTTGGATATTCAATTTTAAATTTTACAGAAAATAATCTAATAGTGAGCACAAATAAAAATTATTTATATGATTTAGATAATATAATTGTTTAAAATTTGTTATTATAAAATATTTTTTCCATGTAACTAAAAGAAGGAAATAGGAGAGAAGAAATATGTGGGGGAGGTGATATTTTTTTCCATATAACTAAAAGAGGAAAATAGGAGAGAAAAGACAAGTGCATACTGGATAGGCGGGGAAGGTATACGGGCCCCTTTTTTTTATCATTGTATTTGGATAAATCATAAAATGTTTTTTCCATCTAACTAAAAGAGGAAGATAGAAGAGAAATAAAATATATGGGGGAGGCACATACGCACGTACACAAGCATATGTACTGGACGGGAGGGGTAGGATATGAGGGCCACTTTTTTTATCCCTTTCTATTTAGATAAATAAATCTAATGGTATAAAATAATGGGCCCACCGTATATTAGTGAAAATCGATGGCTAGATGATTAAATGCCACGTGGCGATGTACGAGCGATTGTGGGAGTTCTATGTGGCGGCTTAATAGTGTTTATAGGATGTTTAATGGACTTTTAGTATATAATAGATATGATGTAGTTATTTTATTAATATGTTTGACTATTCATCATTTCTCAAAAGTCCTGTGCAAATAGAAAAATATATTATGTTTGCTTCGTGTAGAACTTTTGATACTCGTTTTACTTTAAATGAATAAATATTAGAAATTTAAAAATAAACTAACTGTATTATCTATTAAATAACGGAGATAGTGTTGCAACTAGCGAGTGCCGTCGACAAAAAGCACCCAAATATTCTCTTTTCCTTTTCCCAAAAAAAAATATGAAGAACTTGGGTCGTTCGGGCTGTAGCTGTCACACGGTGAGTCGCTGATATGAGGCCTCGCGTACCAATATATGGCCAGATTAATTGGCTGTCGAGCCTTATCTTCAATTTCTCTCGATCGGTTCGATCCCATGACCATGTGAGGGGGATGATGCCGGAGGCGGCTCTGAGCTCCGGCAAGCCGATGCCGCGGGTCGGCATGGGCACGGCTTCGTTCCCGCTCGGCGCGACCGACCCGTCGACGGTGAAGGATGTCGTCCTGCGCGCCATCGAGGCCGGCTACCGGCACTTCGACACGGCGGCCGTGTACCAGACGGAGGCCATCCTCGGCGACGCCGTGGCGGAGGCGGTGCGCGCCGGCCTCGTCGCGTCGCGGGACGAGCTCTACATCACGTCCAAGCTATGGGTTGCCCACGCGCACCCCGGCCATGTCCTGCCATCTCTTAGGCGTGCGCTCCGGTGAGTATAACTGCAACTTATTTTGTTGGACTAGCTATATATGCTCATGCGTTGCACCGGGATCATTAATTATTCGTGTCATTCTTCATGTCCAGCTGCGTAGCTACTCTAACCAGTCGATATAAATTTTCTATATACCTAGCTAGAATATTATATTTGATCCATGTAGTATAATCTGAGACCCGTCAAGAAATTCTAATAGCTAGCCGCCTAGAAATACGAAAAGACAAATAGTAAAAAATAAAAATGAAATAGGCTAGAAACTAGCCTACTAGCAGCAGGTTGTGGGAGGGAGGCATGGAAATGGGTGAGTGGTTTCACATGACAGCGGCGGTGGTGGCCAGGATGCTAACTGGTGCATGGGCACTAGTATCTTTTTTCGTTTTTCTTTTTTCCATCTTTTTCGTTTTTCTTTTTTTCGCTTCCTCTCCCCTCACGTGTTTTCCTTCTTTTTTTTCATGTTTTTTTTTCGAATTTTTAATCGGTAGCACACGTGTTACCAAAAAATTTTTTGGTCAAAAGTTTTCAAATCTTAACTTAAAAATTTTTCAATATAAAAAAATTTAAATCTTGAGTTGAAAGTTTTTAAATCTGGGTTGAAAGTTTCAATTTTTAAGTTGAAAGTTTTCAAATCTGCGTTAAAAGTCTCAAATTTGAGTTGAAAATTTTTCAAATTTGAGACTACAAGTTGAAAGTTTTTAAAATTTGACTTAAAAAATTTAAATTAGAGTTGAAAGTTTTAAGTTTTTAAATCTGGATTGAAAAAGTTTTCAAAAGTTAACTTTACGTATAGTTTTCTTTTTAATCTATTAGTAAAAGAAGATCATTAAATATAAAAAAAATTAATTATGGTTATTATCTACAACTAACCAAAGTAAACATCTCCGGTAAAAAAGGAAAGTCCCGCAAAAAAGGAAAAAGGAAATACTAACCGTTATCATTATTGGAGGCTGGCGCTAATCGCACCATCCTAATTGGATTAGGCCAATTAGCTACCGATAAATCAGCACTTGCGTGCATGCCCCGGTGACCATCTCGGCATCTGCGCCAATTAGCAAAACCGGCGGTGGTGGTAGGATGGCGGAACCATCACCATCATTGTTGTCTTTCTTTTTTAACTAACCAACATTAAAAAAAATAGAGGGTGCATATATGATCAAGCATTTGGCTTGTGTGGTTGATTTGATTTGTACGAATATTGTAGGAAGATGCAGATGGAGTATCTCGATCTGTACCTGATTCACTTTCCGGTGAGCATGAGGTTGGCTGAAGATCCGGAGTCAATGACATATTCCAAGGATGACCTTGTGATGATGGACATGGAGGGAGTGTGGAAGGAGATGGAGGAGTGCCAAAGGCTAGGACTCACCAAGGCTATTGGTGTTAGCAACTTCAGTTGCAAGAAGCTCGAGACATTGCTCTCCTTCGCAACCATCTCTCCTGCAGCAAATCAAGTAAAAGTTCCAAACATTCCTATACATTATAATAATCTTGACTCTTTTGGAATTGCATCTATATATATACCATCAACTAGAGAAAAACCCATTAGCATTATTTAGTGGGATAACAATATTAAAAAATGAAAAAAAAAAGTGTCCACATCGGCGATTCCGGTCAAGCTTCACGATCAGCTAGAGCCCACGTAACTGTCAAACTCAGCCATAATGTCCAATCAAGCCTCGCCCTCTCACCTCCGTTGCATATATGTCTCAGTACTAAGAAACGTTTCTAGGAAGATATCATTTTTTTTCTCCGGCAGCCAAGAAAAAATACACCTGCAAAAATAATTGACACTGTCTCAGGTCATAAATCACCTACGAAAACCTACTTTTTACAGACGGGTATCTAAGAAATCCATCTAGCTATGAAGGTAAGTCTATTTTTACATTCAGATACCTGTGAAATCAGTCTTTAAAAATCGATATTTAGCGGATGGTTGTAAGTAAGAAAACCATCATAAAATATGGGAATACCACTAAAATATGAAAAAAAAATTGCAACTACATATAAAGTCGGATGACGACAAACTTAATATGAAAATTGTATCTCTCAATGAGATGTACAACTTTTGTGTTGATAGTCTTTTTATTTGAGATCATTTATAATTTCAAATATGAAAAAAAAGTAACTCTTTCAAATGAAGTTAGATGATGGCAAACTCTATATGAGAATTGTAGACCTTGACGAAATCAACAACTTTGCAGTTGAAAGTTCGTTTATTTCAGATTGTTGAGGTGTGTTCAAATATTCATTTTTCATTCTCAGATATATTTTAGAAATTGTTTGTTTTAGTTTTCAAATGACTTCGGATGGAGAAATGTTCTACCAGGAAATTGTAGATCCCAATGAGATCTACAACTTTATAGTTGAAAGTTTTTATATATGAGATCGTTTAGGTGCCTAATATTCATTACAAGCTTTGATATCTATTTTTACAAGGAAAAAGTCCATATACCCCCTAAACTTTAGATGAAATTCCATCTAGCACCTTGAACTTTAAAACCGGATATCCAACCCTTAAACTTTACAATACTATTCATGTAACCCATATGGTGGTTTTACAAAATGATTACTACATAATTTGCATATTCGATGGATGATTTTGAATATGTGACATATGCCTTGGACATATATGTTAAATCTCCACTTGAATAAATGAATACCAATATAATACTAATATGATGTTACTATATACTATAATTTAAGACCGATGATTGAGGTATGTAAGTATGTTATACGAGTTTTTTTAAATCGCTCGTTTAAACTTTAAAATATGCAAAACCACTGTCTGAAACTAATTTAGGGGTAACATGAATTGTATTGCAAAGTTCGGGGTGGATGATGTCCGACTGTAAAGTTTAGGGTGTTATATGGATTTTTATTCAACGTTTAGGGGGTTATATGAACTTTTTCCTTTTTACGAGGGTTAGAAAGTCCAAACTTAAAAACAATTCTAGATATTTATTTTAAACCTGATTGAGGTAAACCAAAGTTATACGATATTCTATTAGTGTTTTCTGTAATATGACAATATTAATACTTTCATGGAATACTTTTTTGTGTCTGATCATTCATTAATGTCAAGATGCATAACATATATATCAACTCATATAAAGACCACGGCAGTGAGCAACCATATTAAAATAAATATTTTAAGTAAATATGGACCCAACCATATGAAGAAAAATATTACAAGGATCATGGAGAACCGTGGTTCACCTCAATCGGACATAAAGTGATTTTTCTATAACATTTTGAAGTTTAGTCATTTTTGTGGGTTTTTTATGTCTATAAAAATTAAACTGGAATTTTATTTTCATGGGTGGGTCCTTGAGAGAGCCACACCGTGAAAATTGATTTCTGCACGGGTTGGAATTTGCCTACACAAATCCATGATTTCTATAGGCCCTAGCTTGGTTGCAGGCAAGTTGGAAAAATGCCCACGTAAATCACTTATGGATCATCTTAACAAATACTCCCTCCATATTTTAATGTATGACGCCGTTGACTTTTTGACTAACGTTTGATCATTCGTTTTATTCAAAAATTTTGTGCAAATATGAAAATATTTATGTCATGCTTAAAGAACATTTGATGATGAATCAAGTCACAATAAAATAAATAATAATTACATAATTTTTTTAATAAAACGAATAGTTAAACGTTGGATAAAAAGTCAACGGCTTCATACATTAAAATATGGAGGTAGTATTTTTTTAAGTAGTTACTCGTCATGGCCATGCACAGATGAGAGAGACAAGGACATAAAAGATTAAGAGGGGTTGTAAGAAGAAAAAGGGAAATGGTATTTTAGTTTTTTTTTTGCGAGGAAAAAGGAAAAATGGTATTTTAGTTATGAGTATGGAGACAACATTTTCTTAGTACTACTTGGTACTGTTTATATTATAGTTGTACATATACATTTTTTTCTCTATTCTCTTTGTCCAAAACATTTCAACATGTACATTGATTAATTTATTAATATTGTTCACGGGATTACATGAACACTTGCAGGTTGAGGTGCACCCCTACTGTCGGCAAAATAAATTGAGGGAGTTCTGCAAGGAGAAAGGAATTCAGCTCTGTGCCTACTCTCCTTTAGGTGGAAAGGGTACACCATGGAGCAACAATGCTGTCATGGATTGTCCTCTTCTCAAACAGATTGCCATGGAGAGGGGTAAAACTATTGCCCAGGTAAACAGAACACTGCAATATATGTCAATTTTTTATATGTGCTATGATAAATTAAGCTTCCAGCTATGCAATTATATTTAGAGACCGTAGCAGGAAAAACAAAAGGCAAAAGTGGTTTGTTTAATGGCCGATAAGATGATACATGAAACTTATGGTAATAATTGTTCTGGTGAATACTATATATACCTATGTTGCATTGTTTAGTGAATCTTATCGTGCATATCATGTTTATTAACTAGATATGAAACTATTTAGAACTGAAAGTACAAACTGGAAGTGTAGGTATGCTTGAGGTGGGTGTATGAGCAAGGAGATTGTGTAATCGTCAAGAGCTTCAACAAGAGCAGGTTAAGAGAGAATCTAGGCATCTTTGATTGGGAGCTCACCAATGATGATCGTCACAAGATAAGCACCCTCCCAGAGTGGAGGGGAACTCTTGACATCTTCGTCCACAAAACCGGTCCATATAAAACAGTTGATGAGTTTTGGGACGGCGAGATTACTGGTGACAAGACTTTTTCTAATGGTCCCTGATCAATGCTAGCCCAGCCAATGAATGGACTGCTCAAGAAGAATTCAAATTTCGTGTACCAGAGTCCAACATACTTTTCCTCATGATGCACACATGTTATGTCCTTTTGTGAATGAAAGTATACTAGTCGTCAAAATCTCCAATCTTGTCCACATCATAGAGATCGTTTTAAATCTAGGAACGTTATTTTCTTATTTTCCATCAGATAAGACTAATAACCAACGCAAGCCTGATCTGACCACGTGTTGTACCACTATCAACCTTTGGCACTGCTCGCTCTCCTCACAGTCCAAGTGCATGGTACCATTGCCAACGGCCACCGTTGCTGCCACCGCCGTGACCTGTAAGAGGTTGACCTACTAGTTGATGGCAACGACACTACTACACATGTGATTTTCCTAGACGCAAGCCCCTTTAGGTTCCAGGCGGGCCATAAGTGGCTCTATCTGAAACCAGGCAATCCCAGCGCCGGGCTGTGGACCGCACGGGATAATCGATGGCGCAAACATGCAACGAGTGAAGAAGCCGATGACGAAGCAAGAAGTGGAGCAACACCTCGTTCTTCCGTTGATGGCTGCTTTGCTGCTTTGGCCTCTCCAGAGAAACGGTTAGGTTAGATCAAAATGGAACAATAGTATCAGATGATACTTAGTAGTATCGGTACCAGTTGATTACTAATATAGTGATACTTATTAGTAGTATTACTTTACTAATATCCGGTGATACTTGGTAGTATCACTTCACCAATCTAAAGTATTGAAAGAACTAAAGTTTCTTGCAATCTGATTGGGCCACATCATCGAGAAATCAAGGACCGTTCGATATATCCTCCGGACATTATCATCCGTCAGATCTCTCTATTTGCAAAATCTCTTCTGGATCCTTCGAGAAAGCTCTTTTTCAAATACATCCTTCCACGTCCCTAGGTAACCAAAAAAAAAGGAGAGAATGTTCCCCTCCTTGTCTCTTCATCGCACACGGCCACACTGCCGCCGCCAGCCCGCCAACCTCCCCACCGCCACCATGAAGTGGATCACCAGTTTCGACCGCGTCCCAGAATAGGCGCACTGGATCCTGCACCACCTCACCAGTGAGCTCGAGCGCCTTAGCCATGCCTCCTCCCAGCTATTGCCGCTGCCTCTAGGCGAGTTTGGTGCTGTAAAATCAGATCCACGATGGCAGATCGGAGATAGCCATCGAAGTCGACCCCCACCTCCAAGCCAAAGGCATCGGCTTCCCCCTCCACATCATGCGTTGCCCTTGCTCTCCTTCTTGGCGACATGCGTGTGACGACGGGCTTGAGGCGTGGTTGGCCATCGCCCTTCAAGATGCTACATGGGCAGCATTGGAGGCTAGAACCCAGTAAAGCTTGTGTACCAGCTGGAATAGCATGCTAGAATCTGAGGTAATTCGTTGCGAGTCAGTGTTAAAGTACGGTGTGTGAAGATGGCCAAAGCCAGTATGCAAACATTTGGTTAGTTGTCCCATCTTGATATATAGTTTTTGCACGTTTCGTGCTTGATAAATTGCTTGAACAGAAACCAGGGAAGGTTACCCTTTAAGCCAAATAAGATTAAAGCCAATGGCTTTCAATTTAATTAGAAATTTCTGTTTGCTGGATGTAACTAATAGACTTTAACTAGAGATAAATTAAAATTGACCAATATATGTTGCTCAAATTAACTTCTCAGCTCACAATAGATGATGCATTGAAGTGTATATAAAATTTTCAATTAATTCTGAATATCAATTTCATAAATTACAAGCAAGCACACCAAAATATCCCAGCAATATCTTTGGAGGGATTGGGTCGCTAGCATCAATTGATGTTTGCACAAATGATCCTGGGTGTATTTCCCTAACCGTAACATGCCACCAACAGCATGAAAACTTAGGATTACACTTCTCTCGGTAAATGCTAGATTTTGTTGCTGTGTCCTACATGCTATACTATTTTAAGGAGTTGAAGCTCAACTATTTTCTGCAACAATTGATTGATGTTCTTCCATAAAAATAAGCTAAGCTACTATGTTCATTTATGATCATGCTGAATTTGTCCATGGAGAGTGAATTACTGTATTCATTTATGATTACAGTAAAAATAGTTTTGTTCATAGACAGGGTTTCAGCAGTTTACATATATGCTTTTCCAAGGGCTAAAATGATATCTGAATTTATGCTGCTAAATACTAAATATTCAAGTGCACATCACTTGAGGCTGATCAAATGACGAATGAAAATAAGGATGGTTTTACTTACCACTTTAGATCGCTGAGAAAATATATGATTGCAGATTATTAGTTAAAGTTGTAATCAACGTTATCCTTTGACTGATTCCTCATACTTAAGTTGCATCTTATATTATGAAGCGAACTAATTAATATAATACTACTTCCTTTATGCTTCTGTTACTTTCAGAATGTGTTACCGAAGCTGTTTGTATGTTGATTTTTCAATTTACAGTGCCATTGGATTTTAGAAAAAACTGCTGATTGATATCTGTAAACCTACCAGCTATAGTGTCACTATTTATTTGCCCATCAACGAGATATCAATAGTAGGGCACCGTTGGCCTGAGCCATATATACACATTTTCAAACGGGTCTTTAAGAGCCACGCAACGCGTGGCTTACGTGGCTAGTATCAGGTGATTACTAATGATACTTACTCTCTCCGTCCAAAAAAAACCCTGGGTTTCCGTGTCCAACGTTTGACCGTTCGTCTTATTTAAAAACATTATGAAAAAAAATTAAAAAGACAAGTCACGTATAAAGTATTAATCATGTTTATCATCTAACAACAATAAAAATAGAAATTATAAAAAAAATTCTTATAATACGGACAGTCAAATGTTAGACACAGAAACCCAGGGTTTGTGTTTTTTTTTAGGACGGAGGGAGTACTAGCTAGTATTGTTTTACTAGTATCAGGTGATTACTAATGATACTTATTAGTATCACTTTATCAGTATCATGTGATACTTAGTAGTCCCATGATACCTAATACGTATCACAGCATTATACTTAACAGTATCAGCTGATACTCGATAGTAGCATGATAGGTATCATAAGTAGCATGACGCGATAACCAATGATACTTGGTAGCACGCAAGCTAGATAGAGCTGGAAGTGTTCCAAACACTGTTCCTTTTTCTTCTTACTTACACTACTACAGAACCACAGATAGGTGCCAGTTGGAAAACCGGCTTAGGTACCGGTTTTCCCAACCAGCACAATGAATGCGGCACTGATTACTCAGCTGACACCAATGTTAATCTTAAAAGGAAAAAGTACGAATTACCCTCCCCCGAACTATCGCGGTCGACCGAATTACCCCGTTGAACCAAAAATCTGGACATCCTTCACCCCCAACTTTGCAAACCGAACAAATAACCCCCCCCCCAAGCACTATTTTGAGCTGTTTTCGACTTGAACTTGCACACGTAGCTCCAACGTGGCAATCCTGTAAGCAAATAACATTAAAAAAACACCTAGACCCACATGTCATCCATCTCCCCTCCCCAATCCCTCTGCTTTCTCTCTTACTCGGCCGCCCGCTCTTAGGCGTTGTCGTCGTCGTCTTAGGCGGAGGCCGCTCGCTCAGATGGCCGCCAGCGGAGGCATAGCTTGGGCGGCGGGCAGCGGTGGTGGAGGCGAGCTCGGGTGACCAGCGGTGTCGCGGGAGGCTGCGGCAGGAGGAAGGCGGCAGCCGCAACAGCAGCTGGGGAGGCGAGATCCGCGCCGGTGGAGGAGGAGGCGGAGAGAAGTTGGGCGGCCGGCGTTGGAGGCGGGGCGAGCTCCGCGTTGGAGGCGGGAGGAAGGTGGCCACCCGAGCACGTGCCCGAGCTGGCCGTCCCCGCCGCGCTCGCCTCGCCCGTCCGGTTGAGATGGATGTAGAGGCAGCCGAGGCACTGGACGAGGCGGTCGGCGCTCTGGACGAGGAGGAGCACGACGCAGGCGTCGACGAGGAGCTGGAGCAGTGGGGTGATGTAGGCGACACGGAAGCGCACCCACGAGGAGTGGAACGAGTCAAGGAGGCGACGGGGACGTGGCCACGGCCGTTGGCGTAGGCGGCAAGCTCGATGGCGAGAAGGAACCGGGACCGTGGCGACGGTGTCTCGGTGTCGTCGTTGTCCGTTCTGCCCAGCGATGGATCGAGCGCGATGCCGAGTGGTTCGACCTAGCGATGTACGCGTGGCGTCGCCTCGACCGCATCCGAACGCCCCCCCTCCGCCGCCCACATCGTGGTCCGCGGCCGCGTCTGGTGCATCGAGGGCGCCGGAGGAGGCGAGCGCGGCGGCGAGGCGGTTGGCGGGGGGACGACGTCGCCGCTTCGCGTCGCCGCCACCTCGTCTCGCGTAGCCGCTTGGCCTCGCGCTGCCAATCGCCACCCAGCCGCGCCGGCCGTGGCCGCTCGCGCCCGCCCCCACACCGCCCTGCCTCGCCGCCGCCACGCTCGTCTCGCTGACGCCGACGCCTCGCCTCGCCTCCTCCGCCGCCGTGCTCCCCACGCCTCGTCACTGCCTCTGCCGTCGCCCTTCTTGATGCAGCTCCAATGGAGAAGAGAGTAAGAGATTGGGAAAGAGACACAAGACAGATAGAGAAACTGATAGGTGGGGCCCACCTATTTTTTTAACAATGAATTGTTGACTGGACTACCATGTAGGATCAAAACCACAGCGGATTGAGCTGGGGGGGGGGGTTATTTGTTCGTTTGCAAAGATGGATCGCCGGCCGTTGTTCGACGCCGTCGCACCTCCTGCTGGCGGCCCCACCTCCATGCCTGCTGTCTTCGCCGCGCCACACCTCCTGATCCGGCGCGGGCCGCCTCCGTCGCACCACCTCCCACCACCGCACGCTGCCTGCCGCAACTGAGGGATGCGGGCTGCCTACCTCCCGTCGTCTCCTGCCGCCTACCTCCCGTCGTCTCCCGCCGCCGAGGGGTGCAGGCCGCCTCTGTCCAACCGCCTCATAAAGCCACATCATCTTACTTTTACATCTAAATCATTATTCTACATACTATTTCAATTTAAATCTCATCAATTTATGAAAACTTATGTTTATATAAGCTTATGTTGTTTAAGCTATTTTACACGTTTTTTTACTTATTGTTCTCATGATAAACTCCCGCAGCAACGCGCGGGGTTTCACCTAGTTTAATAAAAAAACATCCATCCAAGCGTTGTCTAATAGAAAATCATTTGAGATGTCAGGTGTGGTTGTGTGACCTGTTGCATGGTTCATAGGGTTGTAGTAAGTATGACTAGCGCTGAGTTGCATGAGGTTGCCCAACATCCAATGCTTCACTAAAAGAGCCCATAGCCGATATTTGTATTTTGTTGATTAGAGATACCATCAATAGAAGGCAATAAGGGAATCCCAGCACATATAATTTTTAGGGAAAATTTGAACCATGCCACACAAATTTTGCAAAATTTGTGATATGCCACCCTGACCCATATGTCATTGACTCATGTGGTTCCTACATGTCATTGAGATACGGGTGGCATATCTCAAATTTCGCAAAATTAGGGTGGCATGGTTCCAACAAACCCTTTTTTTTATGACTAAACCTTCTCTCAACTCAAGTACCTATCTAACATTATTTAAGTCGCGTCGACTTGAAACATGTATAATTTGATAATATGGTATATCTATAAGGGCTACATGTTAGAACACTCAATTAAACCACCTTATAAGTAATACTACCTCCGTATTTTAATGTATGACGCCGTTGACTTTTTGTCTAACGTTTGACCATTCGTCTTATTCAAAAAATTATGTAATTATCATTTATTTTATTGTGACTTGATTTGTCATCAAATGTTTTTTAAGTATGATATAAATATTTTTATATTTGCACAAAAAATTTGAATAAAACGAATGGTCAAACGTTGTTCGAAAAGTCAACGGCGTCATACATTAAAATATGGAGGGAGTAATACTTAGCAAGAACTCAAGTAGGTAACAAATTTCTAATCGCTAGAAAGGGGAAGTGTTGGAGGAGCGATTCTCCAGCAGCGAGGAAGTGCAGATCTTTCCTTGAGTGAAAACTCGTCCAGGGGGTTAGTTGTGCACGACGTGGAAAAGATCTCCAAGATAGGGTCCAGCTCCCCACAAGACAAATGAACACAAGCAGTTATACAGGTTCAGGCCACCTAAAGGTGTAATACCCCTACTCCTGTTTTTTTTGTCACTATCTGGATCTGGAAATTATAAACTAGACCTTTTTCAAACTAAGGAACAAGCATCCCTTTTTATATAGCACGTCCCCGAGGGGCTCACAGTGCCATTTTTCTGCTCTTCCTTCGTGTTGTCACTCAGCTGTCTTGTCGCTGTCAGTTGGTTCCCTTCTAATCTTCCCGAGAAACCAACCAAAAGTATATGATTAAGTTGCCCCGGGCTCCCTGGGCATTGATCTGGCCCAGGTGGGTTTCCATCCTGCCCACCACGCGGCATATGGTGGGCCTGGCGATCCTCAACCTATCCAAGATAGTGCCACGGCTATTTTTCTTCTCAGTTGGATAAGTCGGGTGTCACTGGGCAGGCGCGACACATATCCAGACGCCTGTTGCTCCTAATGACTCAGCGTTAGCGTCTTTTTGACCTCAGGCTGGTTGGGGTTTTCCCCCATAAACATGTTTCATTTATGGTAGTGAACGCTTGCCCACAGCTGGCAGTGGGACACGTTCGCCACTCAACCCAGCCTTCTGGTCGTGTCCCGCGCGCCCCTGAAACAATAGTTCAGCTATCTTCGTTCAAGCTTCTCGAATATATCTTTGATGAAAAGTAGGGTTTATACTTTTACATATTTAAAAACAAAACTTGAATAATACAAATAATCAAAAGTCTGCCTAAAATTCCATGGCGCCAAACATTGAAAACCGGAGAGAGCGTAGTAGTGAACAACATATCAATATGCATATGTATATCATGTTTAACTATAGAACATTTTACCGCTGACAAGTTTTGGGATGGCGATCGAGATTACCGGCCGGCAGCGCGCAACTTACAACCTAATATTTCACTGCTGAAGAAGGAAAATTTGTCCAAGATGCTATAAATTTCCGTGATGCATACATTACGTCTGTTTCTGTGTGTGAAAATACAAGTAGTGACAGTTTTGTGTCGCAGTCGCAACCGCAATCACATTGTGTTATCTTGTCTCCGGCCAGCTCCCAATCATATACCTGTCGCGATGCATGTATGCTACTACTAAATTCGCTGAACTGACGAAGATGAAACTGACACATGCACCACTCCCTCTCTTTCTCTAAGATCTTTTTACCTCACTCGATCAGGTACGACAGCTAAGCTAGCCATCTATCGTTCATGGCTGGTGGTGGTGTGGGAGCATCGGCGGCGGCGGCGGCGACGATACCAGAGGCGGCGCTGAGGTCCGGCAAGCCGATGCCGCTCGTCGGCATGGGCACCGCGTCGTTCCCGTTGGACGCGCCCCAGCTGCCGGCCACCGTCAGGGACGCCGTCCTGCGAGCGATCGACGCCGGCTACCGCCACTTCGACACGGCGGCGGCGTACGGCACCGAGGCACCCCTGGGGGAGGCCGTGTTGGAGGCCGTGCGCGCCGGCATGGTCGCGTCCCGGGACGACCTCTACATCACCTCTAAGCTCTGGATCTCCGACACCCACCCCGGCCGTGTCTTGCCGGCGCTCAGGAGGACGCTCCGGTACGTCAGCATCATTCACAAACCAACCTCTAAACAATCACTTGTATGTTTATTAATTTAGTGAGAAATTTTAGCTACGTTGCTCCGATAATGATAGAGATCAGTCGACCGGTGGGGGGAGAAAAAAATCAGGCGCTCCCCCGCCCCCTGCCCCGCGCGCATGCATGCCACCTGGGCCCCCACCACAATCCCTGCCTCCACCTGCAACAAATCACCCACATATTTTGGAAACCCTCTATTAAAAGAATTTGGTTTATTTTTTTGTTCCACTAAAAATGTTTCACTATCTATAGATTTAATATTGCAGTGAAGTGAAATATTCCATTGCAATGAAAAAACCCACATATTTTGGAAACCCCCTATTAACGTAATTCGTTTTATTTTTTTGTTCCACCGAAAAATGTTTCACCTAGTGTACTTATAATGTTTCACTATGTATGGATCAAATGTTGCACCGAACTAAAACATTCTTTCGCTATTTGCTGAAACATTGTTTTTATATAAGGTGAAACAACACCCGATTTAAATGAATGAAACATTTTCGATCTACTTAGTGAAACAATTCCGATATACTTGATGGAACATCGTGCAACATTTAAAAATAATTCAATAATAAGCTAACTTTTTTCATCGGAATATATCCATGTGTGGTCTTGTTTTGAAAATTTAATTGCAACGAATTTAATAGTGCAATCGGATCATAATTTGGATAAGTAATTTAAGAGAAAAATTAGTTTAAAATAGTTTTGCACGTAAATCGGACGCTTCAGCCCCGATTTTTCTCCAAACCGATCGGGAGCCCGACCCGTAGACTCGTCCAGGTTCCTCTCAAAAAATTAATCAATTTTACACTAAAATGATTGATACATCTAAGGTAACTAGTACATAATTGTGTCATGTTTTTAAAATAGAAAATATAGCATTTTTGGTACTTTCTTGAAGATGATAAAATTACCATTATTTTGTTTGTTTTGCGTGAGTCTTCATGTACTACTGCAGGAACCTGCAGATGGTTTACATCGACCTATACCTGATTCACTGGCCAATAAGACTGAGAGTGGAACAAGAAACGCCTTCGCCGGTGTACGACAATGACTTTGTGATGATGGACATGGAGGGAGTTTGGAAGGACATGGAGGAGTGCCAGAGGCTAGGTCTCACCAAAGCCATTGGTGTCAGCAATTTCACCTGCAAGAAGCTTAACACCCTGCTCTCATTTGCAACCATCCCTCCTGCAGCAAATCAGGTATTACTGTACAATACATTATCATCCTATATTTTGTCCCATCATACATATTTTGGAACATATATTGTATTATTAATTGTCGTTGGGATTGCATGCATGACTACAATATATATGCAGGTTGAGATAAACCCCTATTGCCGGCAGAACAAACTAAGGGAGTTTTGTAAGGAGAAAGAAATCCAGCTCTGTGCCTACTCTCCTTTAGGAGCAAGTGGCACTATATGGGGCAGCAATGCCGTCTTGGACTGCCCTGTTCTCAAACATATCGCCGTACAGAAGGGCAAAACGGTTGCCCAGGTACATATATAATGCTACAATACGTCTTAATTTTGGATCAGTTATGATAAACTAAATTTTCAGTGATGTAAAGATAATTTATAGTCGACAAAAAATTCATCAATATCTGTGGTATTGAACACCATGCTATCTATGGCAAAGTTTTTAGGAATAATTCCAATATGTATATAAGTTTCACCGAAATTGCAGGTATGCCTGAGGTGGCTGCATGAGCAAGGCGATTGCATAATCGTCAAGAGCTTCAATGAGAGAAGAATGAGAGAGAACCTCGAAATTTTTGATTGGGAGCTCACCGATGCTGATCGCCAGGAGATAAGCGCCCTCCCGGAATTCAGGGGAAACCGTGATTTCTATGTCCACGAATCTGGCCCATACAAAACCACTGATGAGTTTTGGGATGGCGAGATTACTGGGCCACAACTAAAAACCTGTTAATGGGCTGCTCAAGAGCAATGAATTGTGTTATTGGTCCAATATACCACTGAGTTGTCTTGCTTATATATATTGTGTAACAGCTGAAAGACTAGAATGTACTCTCATTTTTTTCAAATGCAAATCTACCAGTTTTTTGTTCCTAAACGTATTCAAATCCAGTTTGAATTTTTCCAGCCTAAATTTATTCAAAATTTAGTCATAACTTGGAAATTCTAGAGCTCACAAATGAATAAATCGCATCAAGATTAAACAGCCAACAACAAGGAACATGCATGTCTGGATGCAACATTTGCGTCTTTTTATGTGTTCGTTTGTGATCATCAGAGATGGTCGATTAATCACAAGCTCTCTGCAGAAATGAATTTATATGGCAGTTGCCGGCGGCGGCGCGTCGAGCTCCCTGAGCATGGCGACCACCTGCAGCATGTTTGGGCGCTTTGAGGGGAAGTCGTCGACGCACTGCAGCGCCATGTCCATGAACCTGGCCATCTCGTCGGCGTCGGCGCCCTCGACGACGAGCTCCGGGTCGAGCACCTCCTTCCCGGCGCCGTCCCCGACCTTCATCTTGACCCAGCCCACGAGGTTGGTGTCCCCGAAGTCGTCCTTGTCGGTGGGGCGGCGGCCGGTGAGCAGCTCGAGGAGGACGACGCCGAAGGAGTAGACGTCCCCCTTCACCGTGCACCGGAAGCTCTGGTAGTACTCCGGCGGCACGTAGCCCGGCGTCCCGGCGAGCGTGCTGACGCTCAGGTGCGTGTCCAGCGCGCTGATGAGGCGGGCCATGCCGAAGTCGGCGACGCGCGCCTCCATGTCGCCGTCGAGGAGCACGTTGCTGGACTTCATGTCGCGGTGGATGATGTGGGGGATGCAGTTGTAGTGGAGGAAGCACAGGCCCCTCGCCGCGCCGCGCGCCACCTTCTTCCGCTGCTCCCACGACATCGCCGGTGATGCCGATCTGCCGCCGTCGCCGTGCAGCGTGTCCTCCAGGCTGCCGTGGCTCATGAACTCGTACACCAGCAGCCGCTCCTCGCCGATCTTGCAGTAGCCGAGGAGGGGGACGAGGTTCTTGTGCTTGATCTTGCCCAGCGTCTCCATCTCCGCCATGAACTCGCGGTCGCCCTGGTAGCTCAGGTGGATCAGCTTCTTGATCGCCACGCACGACCCGTCCTTGAGCGTCGCCTTGAACACCTCGCCGAACCCGCCGGAGCCGATCAGGCTGGCGGTGGAGAAGCCATTGGTGGCCTCGATCAGCTGCGTGAAGGTCAGCTTCCGGAGCTGCCGCTGGAACGTCGCCACGTTGATGCTCAGCGCCTCCTTCTCCGCCTTCCCGAGCTTCCATGTCGTCGCCGTCCGCGTCCCGTCCTGGAGGCTGCTCAGCATCATCGCCGAGCGCACCTCACGCCGCCGCGCCCGCGCCGCCACCGCCCATATCGCCGCCGCGCACGCCAGCCCGGCCGACACCAGCACGGCGAGGATCACGCCGTTGGCCCACGTCGCCACGGCGCGCCGTGGGGGCGGATCCGTCGACGCCGCGGCGGCGAGCCCGGACATGGTCGCCGTCGGGAGGCGGTCGCCGCAGGGCTCCAGCGGCATGCCGCACAGCCCCGGGTTGCCGGCGTACTGGCTCGCCGGCAGCGTGCTGAGCTGGCCCCGCTGCGGGATCTCGCCGGAGAGGTTGTTGTCGGAGATGTCGATCTGGACGAGGAAGGAGAGGTTGGAGAAGGAGTCCGGGATGCCGCCCTGCAGCCGGTTGCGCGACACGTCGAACACGCCGAGGTTGCGGAGGCGGCCGAGCGACGCCGGGATCTCGCCGGTGAGGTTGTTCCGCGCCAGGTCGAGCACCTGGAGCACGACCATGTCGCCCAACTCCTCGGGGATCTCGCCGTCGAGGCTGTTGTACGAGAGGTCGAGGTACTCCAGCGTCTGGTACCGCGTCCACCCGCTCACGGCGGCGCCGGAGTAGAGCCGCGTGAAGTCGCAGCTCTTGAGGGTGGGCACCTGCAGCAGCCGCTCCGGCCGGATTCCGGCGAACTCCAGCAATCCCCCAACTCCCTTGCACGAGTTGCCGACGTTGCGGACGAACGCCAGCGTGTTCCCGGACAGGATGCCGCTGAGCGGCGTGGAGCCGAGCTGGCGGCCGAGGCGGCGAGGGATCTCGCCGGTGAGGCGGTTGCTGTTGAGGTCCAACCACATGAGGCTGCTGCAGTTGCCGAGCTCCCTGGGGATCTCGCCGGCGAGGCTGTTGTTCGCCAGCTGCAGCACGGCGAGGCGGGACAGCCGCCCGAACTCCGGCCGGATGGTGCCGGTGATCTGGTTGCTCGTCAGCGACACCCACTCGAGGCCGGTGCAGTTGAAGAGCTCGACGGGGATGTCGCCGCCGATGAAGTTGTTGTTCAGGATCAGCGTCCGGAGATTCCGGCATTGCCCGAGATCCGCCGGAATCCGGCCGTCGAGGCCATTGAACCACATCACCAGCTTCTCCAGGGCGCGGAGCCGGCCGAGCTCCGGCGGGATCGGGCCGCGCAGGTAGTTGATGCTGAAGTCGATCACCCGCAGCCGCGAGCAGTTGGACAAGCCCGGCGGGATCGTGCCGGCGACGAGGTTGTCCGGCAGCCGGAGCTCCTCCAGCGCCGCGCCGGGCGAGCAGAGCTCGGCCGGGAGCGCGCCGGAGATCTTGTTGCTGCTCAGGTCGGCGACGCGGAGGTTCTTGCAGTGGGCGATGGTATCCGGGAGAGAGCCGGAGATGAAGTTGTTGCTGAGGAGGAGGCTCTCGACCGCCGTGAGGTTGCCGAGCACGGCGGCAGGGATCCCGCCGGAGACGTTGTTGTTGGCGACGTCGAGCAGCCGGAGCGCGTGGCACGACGACAGCGACTCCGGGATGGAGCCGGAGATGTTGTTACTCGAGACGCGGAGGACACGCAGCGACGCGCACGCGTTCCTCCCGAGGCCGGGCGGGATGGCGCCGGTGAGGTGGTTCCACGACACGTCGAGCACTTCGAGCCCGGCGATGGCGCCGATTCCCTCCGGTATCGCGCCGGCGAGGCCGTTGTACGACAGGTTGAGCGTCGTGAGGCCCGCGCAGCCGGACAGCGACGGCGGGATGGCGCCGGTGAAGCGGTTGCCGGACAGGTCGAGGACGGCCAGCGTCGCGGGGAGCGACACGCCGGAGATGTCGCCGGACATGTTGTTGCCGGACACGTCGAACGACCGGATATTGCTCGCCAGGAGCATCCCGGGAAGCTCGCCGGTGAGGTTGTTCCTCGCGAGGCTGACATCGGTGAGGTTGGGGTAACACGCCAGAAAGCCGTCGGGAAGCCGGCCGGCGAGGCCGCCATCGGAGAGGTCGAGCTGCAGCAGCGCGCGCGGGAGCTTAACCAGGTCACCGGCATCAACGTGCAGCTCGCCATTGCCGGAGAGGTTCAACCTGCACAACGTGTCGAGACCAGAGAGGGCGGCAAGCTCGGCGCGCCCGGCGAGGCCGCCGGCGGCGAGGTCGAGCTCCGTCACCCTGCCGTCGCCGTTGCACGTCACGCCACGCCAGCGACATGGACCAGGATCCACCCACGACGAGAGGACTCCTCTAGGATCCTTGTGGACGAACGCCTTGAAGCGGAGGAGCGCCGCCGCATCGGTTTCCGCCGCCGCCGCCGACGACGACACGTAGATCGAGGAGAGGAGAAGTGGGATGAGAATGTCCATTTGGCATGTGGATGCAATGTTGGGACAATGAGGATGGATGGATGGAGAAGAAAAGAGTGACAGAGGGTGAGTGAGAGCAAGTGTTGTGTTGGTCACTCTTGATGATGATCAGTGGTTTACAAAGAAAGATTATGGCTTATGGTGTGTAATCCTCTGCTTTTGAGAGATAAAGATGGCTTTTTCTCTTCTTTTTTTTTTTGAAGTGGTGTTTATAAAACATCACCAGTTAAGGGTGCTTTGGTACACTTTTGTGTTTGTGAGTTGGATTGATACTGCCTTGGACAACTATCAGTGTAGGTGGGTTTTATAGGGGATTTTGGTCCAGGAAACATTCCTTTGGATTACTTTTCAAATCAAAGGAAGAAGAGCTGGCCCAAATGTAGTTTGCCAAAATTTTAGCCTGAAGTTGCCTTTTTTTCTTCTTTACTGTATTTGCTACTCCTGTACAAAAGTTTTTTTTTAAGTCTTTTCTCCTAATATGAAACGGCAGAACTCCTGCTCGCCTCCTCGAAAAAAAGTTTTTTTATTCAGTTTATGTGGAAAATGAATTGTTTTCAGTGAAATTCCTAAGCGCCAAAGTAGCCATCAGGGGTTTCCTTGCCTTCATACAATGATCATATAAGCAGGGGAAAAGTACGAATTACCCCCTCCCCCGGCCCGAACTATCGCGGTCATCCGAATTACCCCCTAAACCATAAAACCGGACATTCTTCACCCCAACTATGCAAACCGGACGAATTACCCCCCTACTCAATCCGCGGTGATTTTGGTCTACGTGGCGTACACGTGCTAGTCCAGTCAACATTCTATTTATTAAAAAAATGTGGGACCCACGTGTCATACTCTTCCACTCTTCCTCTCTCTCACTTTTCCTCTCTATCTGTGTCTCATTCTTCCTCTCTCTCTCTATCACGGGGCAGCGGCGGCGGGGGAGGAGCATGGCGGCAGAGCGAGGTGAGGCGAGCGTGGCGGCACGCTCTTCCTCCCGCCCTTGGGCCCGGTTCTCTGCGCCGGCGCCGGCGCATCGCCGGCGGACGAGGAGAGGCGTGAGACGGACGGGGAGCGAGGCGCGGGGAGGTAGGACGAGACGCGGCTCGATGGCTCGAAAGAGGAGCCGCGGTGGCAGTGGTGTCCCACCGCATGTCCACGACGAGGAGGAGGAGCCCGCCGCCCACCGCAGTCCCTGCGCGCCATCGGCAACCACATGCCCACGACGAGGAGGAGGAGCCCGCAGTAGCGGCGGTGTCCCACCGCGTGTCCCCGTGCGCCACAGCTGAGGAGGAGGCCGCCGCCCACCGCGCGTCCCCACGCGCCCACGACGAGGAGGACGAGCCCATCGCCCACCGCGCGTCCCCGCGTGCCCGGTCAGCCTCCGCCTCCGTCGCCAGCCGCCATCGTCCTCGGGCCCCCTCCGCCACCCACAACTGGCTCCGCCCCCTACTCGCCGC